TAGGGTGGGGCTCAAAGGAGTCAGTGTGCTAAAATTTCTTCATTTTCCTTGTTTAGAATCAGAGGTGCTAGTTTCAAATACTTTTTAGTCTTTAATCTGTATGCTAGATATTGAATAAGGTGACGTGGTTTTATTGTTTTTTGTCACTTTGAATAATATTTCTGTACGTGTTAAAAACAAAATCAACTCTCTGTATAAATATATCAGGTGACCGTTAAGGCCCATGGGCCTCTTGTTGTGTCAAGGTATCTCGGTGAACTTTATTTTTTGTGATTAGGTATCTCAGTTGTCCATAGGTAGTGCATCTGTTACTGTTCGTGACTAGGTACATGTGAACCATAATTAGTGATTGTGACCAGGTATATCAGTGGTTTATAGTATAATTAAAGTTTGTGACCAGATATATCAATGATCTATAGCTAGTGTTCGTGACCACATATCTGAATGGATTATACATGTGGTTGAAAATTGACTAAAACGTTACATGTAATCAGTTATTCAATTTTTCGTTTTCATATTTAAGAACTGATTATTTCACACGTTTCGAAAAGTGAAACATATAAAAATTAGTCAAAGTCATGGACCCAGGTCTAGTCTAATTCTTTGGTGAAATTGACAAATCTTAATTTTCTAGATCTCGTGAGTTACGTCCCCTTAACACCTTTCGACTCTGAGGTTAACAGACCATGGAATTAGATTGCTATCTATGCTTAGATGTATAAAAGTGATTGTAAGCATTTGTTTTTTGTTTTCACAATTATAACCATTGCTATTATCCATATGTTGTAAAGCGCTTTAGAGTAATTTTACAAATTATATAGTGTCCTATATAAATGTTGTATATTATTAATATATAACCTACAATATGTCCTGCAAGCGGGCCGGATATAAATTCCACGAATTTGCTTGTTACCAAATAGGTTTTTAACCTTCTTATACAATAAATAATACACAAACAGAACAAATTAATGTAATGAAATATCTTATTTGTACTTACATTTCGATGTTGTTTGTCGCCATCATTATTAGTCTGTACTTATATATAATTTATAACGTATATGTTTCCCACTTATGAACTGGTGGTGATGTACATTATTTTCCACTCTTGCTTTCCTTTCCTTACTCTATTCTCTCCTTCAATATTATGTGCCAATTTCAAAAAAAAAATGGTGAAAAAAGCAAAAACAACTGTGATTAGTAATCAACCGACTCTCACAGCTTTCAAAATGGACAACGTACAACTTAAAAAGTTTGGGGAGGGCATGATGAGAGCAATGTCAAGTCTTGAATCAAAAGTGTGCTGCATTGATCAGAAACTATCTGAGATGGTAACTGTTGAAAGTTTAAATGACAAATTCAGTAAAATGGCTACTAAAACAGACTTAGAAAAGGCCACGTCTGAAATTGTCAATAGGCTCAACGATAAAGTTGACATACTGGAAAACAGAGTTTTCGATCTTGAGACAACCAATGATGAATTGAAAAAGAAGGTGACTAGATTAGAAAACAATATGGAAAAGATGAAGGAAGCCATATCGGAAGTTGGATACGCGGCAGAAAAAGCTGAGTATGGAGTGAATGAAATAGGGCAGTATACTAGGAAATCCAGTGTGAGAATATTCGGATTAGAAGATGACCGCGATGAAAAGGTAGAAAACACGTGTGAAAAAGTGAATGCTCTTCTACAATCTAAATTGGAAATGCAAATCCAGAACAGTGATATTGATATCGCTCACCGCCTAGGCAGATTCGACTCAAAAAAGAACAGGTCGATCATAGTTAAATTCATCTGCAGGAGAAAAAAAAATGAGTGCATCGCGAACCGATACAAACTGAAAGGAACTGGTATTGTCATAAAAGACGATCTGACCCAAGAAAACCAACATTTGTTGGACATGTGCTATTACGATGACAGAGTAAAGCAGTCGTGGTCTGACAATGGTAAAATGTATGCTCAGCTGGTACACGACAATTCCATTCATAGGATATATCCGGGACTTTCAATTGACGAACTTGTACACAATCATCAGCAAAACAAACGTGAAAATTACAAACGATAAATGTTCATTGCTTTGTGACAGTTGGTAACTGGCACCTCATCACAAGTGACAGTCTAAGACAGTGGTGAGAGGTGTTAGTTTGTCAAAACACAAATATATCGTGACTTTTGTGGCCGAGAGAGGTTTGAATCAAATTACAAACGTTTTCTTAACATAATGAATAGAGTTTATTTATTCCTTTACCTTAACTGCCATGGATAGAAATGTGGAAAATTAAAATGGCGAAAATTCAAAAAGTCCATTTTCTTCATAAAATGTAACTTGAATAAGTTTATAACACGATCGTAAGCTGTTTGTAATGTGTATTTATGTATTTATATGTAATATGAAGGTGCTCAATTTAAAATATATATGAAAAACACACGAGATATAACACGGTTATTAGCTTATATAGTGTGTGTATATGTATAAATAATACATTGTATATGAATATCACATGCGTAAACGCCATACTTCATGTATTGATTCTCGTCCCCGTTACGTAAATGTAATATATACGTCTCTGATCGCATATCCAGTTACTTACTTGTTCAATACCACTTTATTTATGAATATATTATGAGTTTGTTTACTAAATATCTTCCTATAAACGTACGTTTACGCAGTGTGTTACCAGTGTTCATGCACGTGCAATATTAGCAAGCGGGTGACTTAAGCAAGTCTAGAAGCTGTTCAAACTTCACATATATATGACTTTGAGATACGTACGTAAGCCTGATACAATATTTCTCATAGTTTACATGAAACATAATTGGATAATTATGTAAGAAATCGAGCCATTGATTGAATATCTTCTGTAATTATAGCTTATAAGAGTAAAAAGATACGATACAAATAGATATTGGTATGACGTGGATGATACATACTATAGTGACAATTACTGTGTACCATACTTATTTCATTATGAACAGTACTGCTTTGTGCTTATAATTTTGTGACGAACACGTGATACTATATGATGTTGGCCAATTCATGTTTGGCAGCGGTATATGTCCGGAGTTACCTCCCTGTTCCTTAAAGGGACGACAACTCTTGTTAAATTTAGATTTATCCTTCCCTTGTTCCGGGAATACCGTATAATTTTATGACCTGACTTTACATACATGTGTATATATATCTATGCAGTATGCATACAAAGATTTTTTTTTATTTTTTTTTAGAAATAAGAGCAAATGTGTCCACTCCTGGTATGAATATCGTATATTCAATAGTATGTGATAACCTGTGTAACAACACCAACTAAAGGGTATATCTAACTGCCGTTCTGAGAGTCGTAAGCAAGTATCTCACTTCATATTTTTACTCTATATGGTAAGATATTTTTACATACGTAATCCAAATAAATATAAGATCGTCACATATATATATTATGAGTACATTGCGAAGCTTTAGAAACTGTATGACATGTACTGTATAATACTAATTAATTGTAACCTTATATTGATTAATTGAAGCTACACTATATAATATCACAATCTATACTCGTGGTTCCCGTCCCTGCGTGATAAGGTAATATAAGCCACCAGATGCAAGGACGGCAACTCTATGTAGTGAGCATGATTGAGTTGTCTTTCCTGTTTCTCTGCTCCTGCTAAAGAAAGAGGGAACCGGAGTGATGATATTCATGACTTGTAGATATTGTGTTTACACATGGTTCACAATTAACTATTTATTAGATTT